GCGACTGGACATCTCGCCGCAGACGACGCACGAAAATAACACGCATCGGCTGCACGGCGTGCTCTTCTTGCAATCTCCGCAAATCTCACGTCTGCATTCCGTTCCGTGCATGACTTCGTCCCAAAAATTGGAAATGTTGGATAACTGCAACCTGATCGCCGGTTCGTCCTTCGTCGCTTCTCTCGCTGCGTTGCACAGTTCGACGGGAACCTCCATCATCGTCATCCTTGATTTCTTTTAATTTTAAGCGCAGCGAACGGTATAGCGCGTTATGCAAGTTTGGAAGATGCTAATAATATTCACATAACAAACATATAATTTCATTTTTTTTAGTAATTTTTATTTTTAGATTTAACAGAAAGTTAAAGATATCAAAACTATAATAATTTAATGTCCCACAGCATGTTTTTGAGGGCTTCCATCGGATTCGAGAAGTAATAATGCATGTGCCGGAGATCTCTAGTCGCCTCATGCAGTCCGAGAGTCATTCGGTAACAGATGTGGATGTCGCCGACGTTGCGAACGGCCAACAATAGATTTCTGATGGTGTCCATAGTCAAAAGAATGGTCTTCTCGTCGTTCGAATCGGGAAAGATGGCGTCACGCCATCTTCTCAGATTGCAAACGGCGAATTCCAAATCAATGAGATTCTTAGCGGTCTCCCTGTACATACGCTTACGTGTTTTTGTAGCCAAATCGAAGGATTTCCGGCCGACTTCCGGAGTTCGGTGGATGCCCAAAGCAACGTTGAGAATGGCATCGAGGTCGTCTCCTTCGTATCCGAAGATGTGTAGATAGTCGGGATACGTCGCCCTGGCTCTTCGCAGAGATTCTATGCAGGCGTTCATGTCGTCCAGGGAGTCGGCTTTCTCCAGGTCGGCCATCAGGATGTCGGCGAATTCTAGAGGAGAGGAATCCGGGTGTCGCCCTATCTCCTCGTGCTCGACGCCATGAACGAGACTGTGAGTGCGATAGAACAGACTTTTGATTCTGTAAATATCGTCCTCCCTGCTCAACCTCTTTCTCTCTGCTATCTTTTCATTCAGCAACTCCTGTTCGGCGATGGTTTCGAAGCCGCACGGAAGCCGTTGGACGATCACCCTCCTGTTTCTGACTATCGGTTCCTGGTCGGATAGAGGTGTCTCGTTGTCTTCCAGATGCAGGACGATCATCGACTCGTTTCTGTTCATGCCTCTTCGTTCCATGATCTTTCTCTTGGCGTCTCCGTAGGAATCCACATTATCGACGGCGTACCAGTCCTTTTCCGATTTGAACCTGTATTGAAGTCTGCGATCTACTTGGGACGACATCTTTTGCGGTATGTTTCACGATCTCGAATCGCGGTGCACTTATATGCTAAAACAGTTCGCAGACGTCATCGAACTTTCGTGACGTCAAGGGTACCAGAACTCATTCAGCCAATAGCGCGTTAGATGTTATCGATGACGAAGCCTCGAACGCCCTCACTCGCAACGTCATCGCTCAAAAACACATGACGTCACTTCAGTGAAGTCGAGGGTACGCCAGCGGTCCTTGAACGGATGACGTAGAGTTTTCAAGTTCTTTATCACGGCGAACCTGCGAAGGGTGGCACACCGTACAAAGAATTCGCCATGGAGAAGGACTCGAAGACGAAGATTAGCGTATCCAAGAAATGCCGCAGCCGCCAAAATGAAGACGATCAGGTTAGATACTTCTTGGTTCGTCTCAGGTCCCGAAGGGAACCGAGAGGTAACCCTTCGCGACAGGTTGAGCGAGACCGGTTGGGATGGGTGGAGGATGATCAAACGGGACGAGACCGACGACGCTGAAGACGACGACGACGACGATATCCTGCCCACGTTGACGAACGGCGACTCGGATATCAAGTTTCGGAATTCGTCGCGACCGAGCAAGCTCGCCGAGCACTGCGATCGGTAGTCCGCCCGAAACAGTGGATATTGATGGATGCCGACACTTTCGTCTGTTACCACGAGGAGGAAGGGAGCATATTTCTCACGGCTCACCGACTCCCCGCGTACGTGTACCGAAAACTGTGCTGCACGAATCCCGATCGCATCCGGTTCGCGTTCGCGACAGCATCAGCCGCGGCAGTTGAAGGGAAAGACGATCCTTACTCGAACATTCCGGTAAGGTACGGCGATCGAGAGACGACGTTCGACGTTCGGGACGTCAGCGCCTTGTTCTACAAGGTGCTGCTCACCAACCACCCGGAATACGCGCATCCCGAGTCATACCGAAGAGCGCTGACGGCGAGCGCAAGGAAACCCCATGGAGGACCACGGAACGACACAGGATACTGGTACTGCCCCTGCCGCGCCCTGCACCGGACGTGCGGTTTCGCCATGAGATCCGTTGACTTCACGACGGAAGCGAGAGAGAGGCTGCTTCCTTTGCAACCCGGCGAATCGGGTGCGTTTTATTTCGGCGAACCGGTCGTCAGAGATAAGAAAGGGGAGGAGACGGTACTCAGGGCAGGGATCGTCCTGACTTCGGCGGCCTATCGCAAGTTGTACTCCGATCTAGGGTGGAAGAACGCGCTCGAATTCCGGAAGTGCATGAACGCCGTGTACAGGTTCGCTCGTTGTCCCGTCGTCAGAAACGATCTGGCAGACGGCGAGGTCGATTTTCACTTCCAGGCTCCCCTTCCTT